TCTAAGCCTGAACTCTTCATGTTTTTCGTGTTCTTCATCCTTTGAAGGAGTGCGGCTGCACACCTTCATGAGGTGGCCGCACACACACCAAAACTCTCCAAAGTGAAGAGTTTGTCCTCCATTTACTAGTTGGACTTGGTTTTAGCACCTAAACACCTCAAAAATCGACATTTTGGGCACAAATGAAGAGTGTATGGCCGTACATTCCTGTGTACGGCCGCACACACCCTCTGTATGGCCGTCCACTACTGTTTGCAGCTGCACACATAGTCTGGCCACACACCCTGGCAACACACTCACCTTTATGGCCATACACCCACTCTAATGCTCATATTTGGCCTTAAATTTGCAAAGATCACTAAGTATGGTACATAGAACACTTATGTCTAGTGATACCAAGTCTTTAGGGTGGTTTTCCATCATGGTTTTTCATGGAATACTCAATCTAATACATATATGTGCAATATATGTTAATAGGGTCCGCTCGCGTACAAAGCATCAGTTGACACTCGACGCTTATAACAAATTGATCATTCGGATCCTATGATAAATTGTGATTTCATACCCCTACATTTTTCCGAGTTTTTCATGTTTTTAAGGGGGGAATACAAGCTAAACATAAAACTTTTCATAACTTAAAAAACTGATGCAATTACAACGGTTTTCCATCACACATTTAGACACAATTATCCCTTTTGTAATATGCGGATCATAAGGGATGTTTTCTAATCATAATTGCATAGTTTCAAAACTTCACATGAACGTAAAAAACCATTTAAACTATAATGGGTATAGTTTGGGATTTCAATATCAGTCTTACAGATTCAAATATTTAAACTATGTCAGATTTAGTTGATCCATTTCTACGCATATAAATCGGGAGTATCATACTAAATAATTATTTTATGTATAATTATTTATACTCTACACCGTTACAAATTATTTCGAACTTGAGAACAGCCGAATAACAAGTAAACTAGTTAATACAACATTGTGAGACTTATCTTCGTTATGCCCCTCGGGGTACCATTAAATCCTCACCGGCAGTATAACCAGAGTCTCCTGGAGGGAGATCGTGAAATTTGTGAATAGATCTATTCGGGACAGATAATCCCACACCTGAACTATTAGCTATAGTTAGGCAGGCACGCCTAGGGTGAAAAATTTTGTAATCGTACGACGCTTGAAAAACGTCAAGGAGGTCACCGGTCATATTAGTATGGTTATACGACTCACAATAAATATAAACTAACCTTTGTTTACGAGATTTCTTTCTTCTATAGTTTTATTTTATGTAATAAAACTACCTATCTACTTACTGGAGAGTATTCCAGGGACACAATCTTTGGTTTTATTTTAAGTAATAAAACTACTACACATACTGGTGGTAGCCAGGGTTTTTCGAACAACACTTACTTTACATACTGGTGATAACCAGGGTTTTCAAACAGAACGTACAACGGTTAGACTCAGACAAGATAAGTCTTGCTAAGACTAGATAATTCTTCAAAAGAGAGGTCCTGCCCTACAACGGTTAGACTCAGACAAGAGCTACGAAATAAGGCTAAACCTAACCTTCTGAAATTATTTAGTCCTCAGAATATGTAACTTAATATATTCATTTACTAGTTAATTAGAGATATCTAGAACTCCTAATAGCACAAATCGGGCATAGGTAAAACTAACCACATAATCCAATCAAACTGTCTTATCCTTTGATCAGGAATCTATACTAGCATGCAACTCATAAAGCTCATATACATATAACAGGCACATAAGGCATCCTCCTAGATCCTTAGTCCTAATCTATCATGCAGTCCTTATAAGCATATCATATCTAAAAAAATATCTATGGTTAGTTTGGGAGAACTTACTTGAGTTTAGTTGATTGCATGCACCACACCCTTCTCTCTTTTTCAAAATTCCTTTTGATCTTTCTAAAAATCTTTTATTTTCTAAAAATCCTTTTACAAAATGATTTTTCCTTTGAAAAATTCTATACCAATTCCTTAGTTTGAGTTCAGACACACCCGAAAGTGCGTCCGAATCCCTCAAACCAAGGCTCTAATACCAACTTGTAACATCCTAAAAATACGGTCCAAAATTTTCAATGTTAAATCATTAACTAAAACCATAAATAATCAAATCATTCCATCAAAACATGAGTTACAGTATTCCAAAACATTATTATGAGAGTTTCATATCGAAATACCAGAGTGAAACATCCCAGGCTAAAAGTTCTTGGTGTGTGCAATGTGATCATCCTGAGCTCTTCCCTTAACTACCGGAAGTACCTGAAACCATAACTGAAGATTGTAAGCACGAAGCTTAGTGAGTTCCCCAAACTACCACATACCATACACATAAGAAGATATACTAGGCCCCTGCCCACTACGTCGGGACTTGCCTGACATGAAACTTGCTCTGGCATCAAGCCCCGCCCGGCATCAGTCCCCGCTCGGTATACAAATCTATTTCTCTTAGGCCCCGCCTGTCCCTGGTCCTTCCCCGCTATACACATACAACAAAACATATAGTCATGCTAATACAAAATACAATACATTATAACAACTAGTATCTAGGCTCTACCCCTACTCTACTACTAATGACATATGGAACCCCGTCCACACTCAACTAGTGATGAGATACGGGCCCCCGCCCACACTAACCTCCCTACCAGGCACATACAAGTATCACGAAGACAACAAGTATAACTACACATGCATTCCTTCCTCGGGTACCACCCGGCATCGCACTGTAGTTCGGAAACATACATATAAACCTTCCTTGGGCCTCGCCCGACATCGGACCGAAATCCGCAACATATAAACAACATCGGGCTAACCTCGACATCAGATCTAAATCTGGTATACACTAACTTACATAAACGGGCCGATATTGGTGCCTTCGACCCATCCTGATGGAGAAAACTCACCTCTCAAACTTACATAAACGGGCCAACATTAGCTAGCAATTCCCTGAACCGCTGCTTCATCGGCTCCCTGAGCTATCAGTAACAAAATGACACTTAGCCCCAAAAAGTCCTCAAAGTCAAACTAGGTCAACCTTGGTTAAAGTTAAAGTCAACGCTCCGAGTTGACTCAACTCGCCGAGTTCTAAAACTTAGAATCCTGAAATCATGATCCAACTCGTCGAGTCAACCCATTCCTCGGGTACCACCCGACATCAAACCGTAGTTCAGAAACATACATATAAACCTTCCTCGTGCCTCGCCCGACATCAGACCAAAATCCAGAACATATAAATTGCACCGGGCTAACCCCAACATTGGATCTAAATTCGGTATACACTAACTTACATAAACGGGCTGACATTGGTGCCTTTGACCCGTTCCTACTGGAAAAAACTCAACTCTCAAACTGACTATAGAATCCCGCAATAAACCTCTTGCTGTTAGCTGGAAATTCCCCAAACTATTGCTTCTTCGGCTTCCCGAGCTATCAGTAACAAAATGACACTTAGCCCCCAAAAAGTCCTCAAAGTCAAACTAGGTCAACCTTGGTCAAAGTCAAAGTCAACGATCCAAGTTGACTCAACTCGACGAGTTGCTCCATCAACTCGCCGAGTTCTAAAACTAAGAATCCTAAAATCACGATCCAACTCCTCGAGTCAACCCCTGACTCGCCGAGTTCCCTGGCTACTCATGGTCGTGATTTATCAAGTCAACTCGTTGATTCGTTCCCCTGACTCAACGAGTTCTACCGCGAACAAAATCGGGACAACTCACTTCAACTCGTCGAGTCCCTCCCTGAACTCGCCGAGTTCCTCAGTCTGATTGGGCCATCTTAACAGATTAAGCCCCCACACTTCAGATCTAAACCCCAAACTTTGTCTACATGCAGGAAATGTCCTCTTAAGGGTAAAGTTTCCAACTTTACCCATTTCTATTCCTTCTTAATGTCCTTAGCTCAAACCCTAGGTCCTTAAGACATAATCTTTATCCAAAATCCTTATTACTCCAATCCAAGGCAAGAGAACCAAGATCTAGGCCCTAGACACCCAGTAAACACATAAAGCCTCAACCTTTACTTCCATTCATGGCCCTTTGGGGATTAAAATCCCATAACAACATCCTTATGCTTTGCATGGGACTCCAATGGCATAAAGTTTGCATCTTTATGCCTTCACAACCCTCAAAGACTTCAGATCTGAAGTATAATCAACTTGGGACATCCATGACTCATAAATCAAGTTCCTTGGGCAAAAACCCCATCGAGGTGGCCATTAGGAGATCTAAGAAACTACAAGGCTAGTTAGAAGCTTGATTACCAGAAAGTGATGAGAATGGAACAAAATCCCTGGATCTATAACCTTCTCCTTGAACCTTTAAGCTCCTTCTTCTTCTTTTAGGCCTCAAGAACACACAACTCACTCAAAAATGGCTCACATACTCAATGAAAGCTCTAGGGTTTTGTAGATTAGGGTTTCGGATCTGGAGGCTAAGAATGAGGCTGATGGAAGGAGAATAAGATGCTTAAATAGGGTACATAATCCCGAATTTAGGGTTTCCCAAACCCATACCAAATCATCGACTTGGTCCTCCAACTCGTCGAGTAGGTCACTTAACCCGAGATCCAAAATCCGCTCCAACTCGTCGAGTTATCTCCTAGACTCGACGAGTTGCCTTCTTTCCTTGGGGTTTTCCTTTCCTTTCTTGGCCTTCTAGATTCTGGGTGTTACAAATATACCCTTGAACAGAACATCTTTGGATATATTTAGTACTCGAACTATCTTTACAAGTGACCGGATTTCTTCTTCTCGTTTTCCAAGGAGTACAAGAAAATGCATCTTCATTCTTTTTTATTCATCCTTGTCTTCAAACTTATCAGGTATTTGGTATTGTTCAGCCATAAAAACTTTTTGTTTATCGGAAAGTCCAACTGATTGAAATCAATATTTTTTGTGGCATAACTTTTCTTAGGAACCTTCTCGAAATAACGCATATCTCCAGAGAAAACCAAAGCTTCGATATTCTTATATCAGTAATGCTTTGAAGGATCTCCTTTGTCTAGACCAGGAGGATCACTAGCTCTATGTTGTAGAATGCTCTGTATATGCCTTTGCTTTTCAATCTCCTTTTCAATAGTTGCTTTCTTTTCTTCAGCAGTAGGTTCAACAACTACACCCTTTCCTTTGTTTTTCAGTTCTTAATTTGAATGAGGTGGTTTTGATGAACTCAAACCTCCAACACCAGATCTGATCATAATCCCCTTCTTAATTGGTCTTGTTATTGCTGCTGTTGAGGTAACAGTAGTAGAGAATTTTGGTAAGGAGTGTGAAGTTGAGTAGTTATCACCATTCCAACAACCTTTACATCGTCATCTCCTTTCAAAGATCAACTACCTCCCATGCTAAACTTCGAACTCACCCCAAATCCAGCACCAATACCTTCTCTCCCTTGTACCCCTTTCTGGATAGGTGGGACATTCATTGGCATTAGATTCAACAACTTGGCTAAGGGAGCCAATTCATGTTTGAGTGTCGACTCCAAAGCAACACACTTTTGGGGTAAAGAATCAGGAATAGTTAGTGAAGATGATGAACCAATCTGCGAGACTAAATCCTTACAGTTATTCAACAAATCTTCAACTTTAGAAAAACTTTGTGCATCAAACTCTACTATTTAATCAATCTTCGGAAGCAAGCATTGATACTATTTTACCACATCTGTAACTGCATCTGCAATGATATCTACGTTTTTGGGAATAATAGAATAATCATGAGATATAGCAGCAACTTCCTTCGCTATATCTACCCTTAACTCCTCCAGTTTGAGATTAACATCTTCTCGAACTTTCTTAACATCTTGAACAAATAAAATATGTTTTTCTTTTGGCACAACTTTTAGTTCCTTCAGTTCCTGATCAAAAGACGACGATTGAGCCTTGACATGTTTTTCGTTGTTTCGATCCAGAATTTCCAACTCATCCCTCAGACGAAGCTCTTGAGCCTTGAGCATAACATCAACTTCTATCTTCGATATCAAATGACAACCCCCTTCATCCACCTTAAGTTGTAATAACGAGTTAAAATTCTTGTTAAGAATTTTGAACTATGTACCAGACATCAACATATGATCTGGTATGTTTTCTTCTTCTGGATCAAATTCGAGGTCATCAAATGTACCCGTAAACTCACCATCTACAGTGGTATCATCATCATTTACTATTTTAGGGCCATCAGTAGACTGGGATGGAAATAGAGAAGTAATGGGTTGTTGAAGGATTTGATGATAAGTTGGAGAATGAGTAGTTGGTGGTAAAGTGGTGGAAATAGTAGAAACAAATAGTGGTAAATAGATATTGGTGGAAATGGTAGATGTATCGAAAGTAGAAGAGATAGCAATCGTAGGATTACCTTGAGCTTCGTTGTTCAGCACTCCTTCACCCATGGTGCCATTTGTGTCCATATTAGATATGTTCGCAGGGATGCCTAAAGTTCGAACCTCCTTAGTAACTAATTTGGTATTCGAGACTCCGGGTGGTATGACAGCATCCTTAATAGGAGTAGATATTTTTGAATGATCACCATATCCAGTCACCTCAACATTCGAATGAATTGGAGAAGCCTTCTTTGGTGATGAAACTATCTGATCAGTATCATGAACCGGGGATTCAGGTACAACTTCATCTTCATCTTTAACTACCACTCGCTTTTTCTTCTTAGCAATCTTTTTAGCCATGTCTTCACCCCTTCTCTTTTTGAATGCAGGAGAGACAGGAGTTGGAATCTCTCAAATCACAACACGTTTGCAATTAATTTGGGGCTTACGAGTGATCTGCGAAACAACTTTATGAGAAAAACCGCTAGACCTCTCAGGAGAATGATGAGGCCTCTGAGCCATCTTCTTAAGTCTTTTCAAAATCCCAGATTTCAAAGGCATGATCTCCTTCACAGGTGAAAAATATTCTTCAATAATTGGGTTTGGAACTTTCTTCAGTTGTTGATTAGACTTAACAACCTTCTTTGAAGGAACATTAACAACCTTCTCTACTTGTTCAGGACTAGGTTTTGAAGGACTCCCCTTAGCTTGTTTTTTTAACTCCTTTCGTTTTTCGATGTTCCAACAGTTCTCTTTTTAAGAAAAACTCTTGTTTCAATCGAAGGATTCATAGTTTGCTTGTACGCCACCAAATAGGATTCGTGGGATCAACCTTTCTAAGCATCCCATCAGGAATTCTTGCAACAATTGGAAACGTATCCTGGTCATCTTCGATAGTCTTGGGAAAATTATATAAAGAGAATTCAGCCGGTTGTTCACCTTCAAGAACCAAGATCCCTTCCTTTTCATAAGCGAATTGAGGAATCAAGCTCCAGTAACAAGCACATGAAATCCCATGAACAACACTCATATTGGCGATGCTTTTCACAAAATCATCCCATAATTGAGTAGTATAATCCACAGGTAGATCATAGTAGATTCCTGCAACCAAGGCATAAATCTCTAGCTTTTCCTTATCTAATCCCACATTTCGACCAGTCAAGCATCGAAGGTAAATTCCAAATAAAAAATTTCAGATACAAGGTAAGCATGACTTCTTAAAATCACTTATCTTGGTAATAACTGATCGGTAACCCATCTCGTTAAACATGTGAAGAACTTGTTCATTCGAAATCTCATAAAAAGTTTCGACGGTAGGGATATTCAGGATTTGGGAAAAGAACTTCTTGGTGAGTTTGAACTTCTTATCATTTGTTAGTTGAAAGGTAACCATGTTCATCGCCTCGGTATAAACCACCGTAAACCAGCAAGTGATACCCACGACATGAGTACTAAGAAAGAAGAGAACATTGTTGTAGATTAGACTGAACTTTTCAAAGCAACAAAAAGCATCTGTAACTCTTTTGGATATTGATTAACATCAGGATTAACTCGGAATTTTGTGCTTTGGATCTTCATGAGAGTTTGCGAAGTAATATCATCAGTTGTCTGAGATGCATCAACATTTGTGTTCTTGGCCGCCATTGTTAGGGTTTGAGTAATTATAAAGAAAATAGAGCCTTTGAAGGTCAAAGTAATTTAAGGATATTCAGATTACATAAAGTTGGAATGAAATCCCTAAAACCCTTTCTATACATAAACCCGATTTTGAATTTGAAGCGGTTTAATCATTAATTTATGAGCCACATGTCACCTAGAAACCCAGACAGGTAGCCGTAAAGTTAGCCATGCCTGAAAAAGTGATGATCACTTTTCCTTGAAAACCACATAGGAACCAGAATGTCACTTCCATCAGTTTGTTCGAGAGTACCAAGAGGATAACAACCGTCAGAAACCTTCAACATGAAGGTAAGGCTTTTTTACTTTTGAGTTGAAAAGCGAAGTCATACACCAGACTTTTCGAAATCATTAGCATGAGTTGGTATTACTCAGAACCTCAAGAATTTCGGTGTGTGAAAATGTGTGCCAAAGAGTATGATGAGATCAAGATAAAAAAAAAATAGATCTGTGATGTCAATAAAAAAGCGAAATAAAGTAGTAAGATCCCAGGAAAAGATCGCTTTGTTTTCCATCAAGAGAGATTTCGAACAGCTTGTGTGGTTTCCCGTGAATTACAATCAAATACTTACAGAGGAGTAGCGAAGGGCGTATTTTAAAAATCTTTGTGCGTTGGCTCAGATTTTGTTACAAACCACAACTTAGCATAAGTGTGAGAAATTGTAAACAAAATTAACTGTTTGACCAATGTAGTCAGCGGAAAGTAGGCTTTGGAAAATTTTATTAAGTAAAAAAGAATTAAAATTGATATCCAGACAGAAATCATATTCCAAAACAAAATTAGATCGTGGATCTTGTAGGGTACAAATGTCATGGGTGTCGAACATTTTAGCAAGATCACTCAAAATGAAAGAATATGATTTTGGATATCGAAGGTATAGAAACAAATGTTTCGTGACCATGCTTCGAAAAGATAGGTTTCACCTTTTTCACAGTCTCATGAATTGGGATCATAAACACAAACTTTTGATATGCCTAAATCTTGATTGGTTTATACATGGGATGTATTCGATATATGTCATTGTGTGTGAGAGTGTAAGAACATTTGGATGAAAAAGATGGGTTGCAGAGACAAAAGTACCTCTACAATAAGTGGACCAAGCATAAAACTATTAACTCATGTGAGAAGAGTAAGGTAGCTCAGAAACTAATGTGAATATAGCCTAATTCGGAAGGAATACTCGTGATGAGAAAACCATTAAGACTTTGTGATAGTTTCATTTTAGACAAAACTGCACAAATGGTCCCTGTGGTTAGCTGAAAATTACCACTTTGGTCTAAAAAAGTTTGGACTAGCACCAGAGGTCCAAACTTTTCATTTTGTTGCGATTTTGGTCCAATTTGCTTTAAACTTTTTTATAATGACGATTGTGTCCTTTGCATTTTCTCTTTTCCAATTTTTTTATTATAGAAATTAAAAAAAAAAGAAAGAAAGAAAGAAAATACTCTCTCTCTCTCTCTCACACACACACACAAAAGCATCTGCTTCATCAGATTTTCAAAAAACCCATCCCCTTCACCACCACCACCATCGATGATGGAGGCTTCCGGCGAAGAGGCTTCCACCTCCAAAACCCCAAAAACCTGCAGCTTGCAACCCTCAAGATCCAAGAACACACCATCTTCTCTCCTTCATCGGATTTTAGGCGAACAACACCTTCTTCAAGTCATATTCTCAGGCGACCATCTTCCTCAGAAAACCCTTCGATTTCGATGATGATCTGGATGGGTGTTACAGATCCATAAGGAGGGAGGCACGATCCAATTCAAGATGAACAAAACATAAAAACGACGAGACTGAGGAAGATGACAACGCCATTTTTTGACAAATTTACGATTGCAGGTAAGGAATGACTTTAATCGATCCTCTTGATCGATCGAATACGAAAAAAATCCTCTCACGGTGGAGAATCATACTTACACAGGTTGCAAGGGGTGACGAGATTGGATGGAGAGGGTCGACGGAAACAGCATCTATTGGCGGCAGTGTCCTACAACAACAGCTACCTGCTATGGTTGTCGGAGGTTCCTTCGGCCTTGTTTTTGGTTGGGTTATGGTCGAAATCAGTGGATAAATCGAATGGGAGTGGTGTTTGGTGGTGATTTCCAGTCGATAGGAGGGGATATAAAGTGATGGTTAGACTTTCATCAACAGTGGTGACAGAAGAAGGTGAAGACGATGGCGGTGGGTGGAGATGACAGCTCCGCTGATTTCGTCTTCCTGTTTCAACGGGTTTGACCAGAGGGAATGAGGAGGGAAAGGGTTGTGGTTGGTGGGTTGATCGGTGATGGTAAGAGGGTAAATGGGTGGTGGCAACGGTGATGTTCCGGTGCTCCCTAGTGGTTTTCCGGTGGCATAACTCTATGACCGGAGGAAGGTGATAGGCGGTGGTGAGAGTGTTGGGGTCGAGGTTTATCACAAGAAAATAGGGAGCAAGGCAGATCAGAGGAGGTGTCTGGGTGGAGAGAGAGAGAGAGAGAGAGAGAGAGAGAGAGATTTCATTTTTATTTTTTTTATAAAAAATTATAAAAATAAATAGAAAATGCAAATTTTCTTTTTTAGTTTTTCTTTTAATAAAAAAAAGTATTTAAATAAGAAAAAAACTAAAAAAAGAAAAAATAATAATAAGGGCAAAATAGTCATTATGAAAAAAGTTAAAGCAAACTGGACCAAACTCGCAACAAAATGAAAAGTTTGGACCTCTGGTGTTAGTCCAAACTTTTTTGGACCAAAGTGGCAATTTTCAGCTAACCACAGGGATCATTTGTACAATTTTGTCTTCATTTTATTTACTTATTTTTATATTTTATTTTAGCAAATTTCATCCATAATCTAGTTAATTTCCATGCATATTTTCCTTTTAGTTATTTTATGACTATTTCAGGTACTTTCTAGTTTCGTGAGCTTTATTGCAGATTTCATGGAGACTAGTGGAGCGGGAATGTTCGAGACGTATGGAAAGCGATGGGAATTGGTGGAAAACAAGGATCTTAGGCTTGATGGGTGGTGGAGATGATGCATGGAGCGAGCTTGATGATTATTGAAGGCTTTGAGAGAAATAAACTTTAAATTTGTAAGATGCGGGAGTATATTCAAGCGTGCATAGATTATTAACTGGGTGCGTTTGGATCATTTGGAGAAGCTAAATTGGGCTTAAATTGAAGAAAACTTGAAGAAAAATGTGCTAGGAGCTGATTGGACTCGATCTGGGCCAATGGGATATGCTTGGGAGGCCCAAAAACTCAAAGAAGCCTATTTCAAGCACCACCTGTGCAACAACACGCGGATCGTGCAAGGTCCTGCAGGGGTAATTTCAGACATCCATTTGCAAGGCTACTTGAGGAAGGTTAGTGCCCATATTTTTCACACTCTTAGACATCCGGTTTTTGAGCATTCTCTCTGGAGTTTTGAAGATTTTTGAAGGCCAAGAACACCTCAATAACATCATCTTTTCACCTCTTGATTCTTGTTTAATGTTTGGTACAATCTTCTCTAACTTTGTTTCTTTGAGTTTAGCCATGCTTGGCTAAACTAATCTTGGTTGACTTTGGTGAAATCCTTCGACTATTTGTTGAATGTTGAAGATTCCATGAACTTGTGTTTGAATCTTTATGAAAATGTTTTGTGTTTTAACATCTTATCACTACTTGTATGTTTTTATTCATGAGTTTAAATGTGTTTG